TGTAAGTCCTTGTGGCGGCTTCACATACAATGCCTATCTCTTGTTGAAGCTTATTTATCGTATGAGACATTTCGGTATGCACGACTGTGGGCGTCTGAAATCGCTCGCTGTTAGAAATACACAGGAGAACATTCTCAGAATATGGTGTTGCCAGATCGGTCATTTGTTCATTCATTGCAGTCAAACCATTGTGTTTGTAACGATTTTGAAACATCGCAATATGAGGTCAGCCACCCATGACATCATGAACCATTTTTGAAGCAGATATTCAGTTCAGCCAAGATGTGAATGAGATTTTTGTATGTGTGGGCGTGATTTATGGCTTCTGGTCGTGGTCTAAGCACTGTGCTGGCATTAAACCATTCACTGCTAGAGAGCCGTATAATTCACCACGGCCACATGACGACATCGTATGGAAGATGCTGAAATTGAGAAACAGCTGTTTAATGACACAGATTCGGACTGCTATTCAACCGATTCTGACAGTGGCGAGGAAAGTTGGAGTTCTGATTCCGCGGATGAAGGGTCATCACCTTCGTCGGCAACTTGGGGACCGCCAGACCAGTGTGGCTGGAGAGGTGTGAATAATTATTCCGGTGTAGCTGTGGGGATAAATATCACTGCAGCTCCACGCGTGAATAAGGATTCCACCCCTCTCTGCGTTTTCATGCTGTACTTTGCGGGGATTATCCATCTGCTGGTGGAAGAGACGAATAGGTACTATCACCAATACCTAGACAGACTTGAAGACGGACCATCTCCGCGGCCTGATGTAACTGAATCCGAGATGTTTCTGTTTCTAGGAATAATCATTCAAATGGGAAATGACATTAGAGACACACTAAAGGACTACTGGTCGACTGCTGAACAATTTGCCACGCCTTTCTACTCTAACACAATGAAACGCGACCGTTTTCTTCACATTCTTCGTTTTCTACATTTTGCAGACAACAGTACAGAAACTGACAGGAATGTTGACAATTATGACCGACTATGGAAAATTCGGACCATCTTCGACACTCTCAATGACGCATATAAAAAATATTATAACCCTTCCGAACATTTGGCCATAGACGAAATAATAGTTAAATTCAAGGGAAGGGTGGTTTTTAGACAGTACATTCCTAAGAAGCACAAACATTTCGGAATCAAAATCTTCAAAATTTGTGACGCCACTGGGTATACCTATGACATGAAGGTTTACTTAGGAAAAGACAGGAAACATGCCAGCCAAGACGTGACAGCGACACATGCTACAGTTAGGGACCTATGCAGGCGTATTGAGGGCGTAGGTCACAAACTGTACATGGGCAATTTCTTTTCGTCACCAGACTTGTTTGACAACCTGATGACAAAGGACATAACGTGCTGTGGGACAGTCAGACCTAATCGGAAGGTCTGACGATTTTCGACGAAGACAATTTCGACTGAAGAAAGGAGACATTCGTGTTAGGGTGAGACAGAACTTGACAGCACTAGTTTGGAAGGACAAACGTGACGTACACATACTGACAAACATGCACTGTCCTCCAGGAGAAGGCAGTTTCTGTGATGAGCACGGAAATGCCATCAAACCATCAGTTGTTGTGGATTATAACACGCACATGGGTTATGTCGACAAAGCGGACAGAATGACAAACAATTACAGCATCAGTCATCGGACCTGGAAATGGACAAATAAACTATTTTTCCATCTCCTGGATCTGACAATTCTGAACAGCTTCATCTTGTTGTCATCCTGTGGCACGAAATTGTCACATCGAGACTTTCGTCTCGCCCTTGTGTGCAACATGGTGGAAGAAGCTGAAAGGGGTTCACCTTGCCCTCAAAGGTCCATTGGTCGACCTCCTGCCGTGTCATCGTTAGTAAAATGATTAGAGGAAGCCCGTCGACATCACTGGCCTGCTTCCTCTAAATTGCAACTGAGGTGTCGTGTGTTCTTCGCGTGGGAAGCGGTCTAGCGTTCGTACGAAGTGCGTGAGGTGCGAGGTCGGACTCTGCATTTCGGAATGTTTTCAGCAGTACCATACGAAGGCCACATTACCATAGATGACGCAGGAGGGAAGGCTGTTTCCTCATGAAGATGGTGAACATATATCACATAAGTAGAGCAAAAATTTAATTTTAAATTTAATTTTAAAAAAATCTTTACACGTGTGCAATGCGCGAAATCATATGAGGTCGTTCGGCCATATGACGTCGGTAGATTACATAAGATCATGCAGGAAGGAAGGCTGTCACCTTATAAAGGTTGTGACCAAAAATCATGTAAATATAACAACAATTTATATTTTAAATTTAATTTTAAAAAAATCTTTACACGCGTGGAATGCGCGATATCATATGATGTCGTTCGTCAATTTGGCCTTACTTTTAACGTTATATGACGTCGCTAGATTACATTAGATCATGCAGGAAGGAAGGCTATCTCCTTATCAAGGAGGTGACCAAAAATCATGTAAATAGAACAACAATTTATATTTTTAATTTCATTTAAAAAAAACTTACACGCGTGGAATCTGTGACATCATATGATGATGTTTGGAGAGCTGCCCTAACTTTTAACGACATCATATGATGACGTTCGTTCGATAAAGGTTAAACACCACTAGTGGAAGTGTGTGCATGCACTGCTAACTGCTAGTAGAAGCGAATGCACAATCCTAAATATTTATTTTTAAATATAGTAACTACCAGACAGATCTGAGTAAAGCTGTAATACAAGAATTAAATTGCTACCTAAGTGAACAACAACAAAAAAAGAGTATATGAGTTATGCCCCAACTCATCTTCGAGTCAGTACTTATTGAACATATATTTTTAATGCAGATTCTGCAATAATGATGATGATGATGATGATGATGATGATGATGATGATGATGATGATGATGATTGCACGAGTTCTTTGTCATCCTCATCTTCGTAACACCAATCATTATCTTCTTCTGTGCAGCAGTGCGAATCAGAATCAAATGTCGGTTGCCTTTCAGGTTCATCATTTTGCAAACAATGTTACACTGCTATTGTATAATGAAATGAAACTGCAGTATTCAGTTTCACTCTGAATGCACAGAAAACAGAATGCATGCTGTATCTCAACCACGATGTAACTGTCTGTGACCATAGAAAGGGCAATAAGATCTTGCAGCTTCAGTGGAAGAGCTTAGCACTGAAGTAGGGACCATCAGACTGTTCCCTCTAGCCTTTTTTGAATAGCCATACTTTCATTTTTCTGTCCTTTAGTTAAAAGTTTCAAAAATCTGAAGATTGTAACAAAGACATGAAACTTGCCAGCAGAGAACCAAATGATTTTATTGCTTCCAACTGTTTTATGGTACCAGGCACTGGGAAAATATATCAAGTGTTACAAGCAGGAATGATTTTATAATGCAGAACAACTCTGCAAATAGGCAGAAAACCATTTTTTCAGTATGCATTAAAAGTAAAAGAAAAAAAATTGAAAATAGAGTATAACCCTTTTGCATAAAAATTTTCAAATCTTGTGTTATTGTATTGTGTGACACTATATTCTTTGCTGATATAAACAAAGTTAATTCCGTCCATTTATCATAAAAATTGTGTTAGGTACAGCTGTTTGAAACACAACACTTAAAATTGTTTAAGTGCCCTAACAGGAACAGACATTTAAATGCAGAACTTCAACAGGCATTTAAACACGCACCAGAAGTGGGCATTTAAACAATCTCTGGCCAGCTTAAGCTACCACGATTTCAAAAGTCTGATGTTTAAAGGTTAATTGAAGGCTTCTGGTGTAAATATTGGTAACATTTTCTAGAAGAATAACTATTATTTATTGGGTGTTTTTATGGAGCTGGGATATCTCACTCAGTGCAATGACAGGCTATGGGCTGGACAGCCAGGGTTCAGTTCCAGGCAGCATCCATGCCAGCTCTGTGGCCAACCTAGCCTCCTATTTGGTGGCTACCAAGGGCTATTTCCCCCAGGTTAAATTGCTGGGGTGTGAAGCAGACCACTCACCTCCATCTAGGTGTTGAGGTCAAGAATGGTGGACCTGTAACTCCACTTCCCTCTACATCTTCATCTTCTGCTTACGTACTTAATTAATAAAGTACAGTGACAACTTTACTTTTTAAGTGTACCGTTATGTGTTTTGTGAGTATCCCAGAAGAATGTCTGGAAAAATTACTATGTGAGAATGCAAGCTGCAAAGCTGTTCACAATCTAATCATT